TTAAAAATAAGGGAACCTGGCACAGAGAAATTCTCCCCAAATTGAAGCCTACACATTTCCTGAGTGCCTAGCACAATGAATGAAAAAGACAAACCGTGGGGGGGTGCCTGGGTGGTTCAGTGAGTTAAGCATCTGCCTTCAGCTCAATTCATGATCCCAGGGTCCTGGGATCCAGTCCTGCATCGGGATCCCTGATCAGTGGAGCACCCACTTCTCCCTCTCCTACTCCCCCTGCATGTGCTCTTTCTCTCTCCTTCTCTCTCAAATAAATAAATAAAAATCTTAAAAAAAAAAAAAAAAAAAAAGAAAAAGACTTACCATAAAGACACATCATTATGAAGGTTCGGAGCACCAAGGGTGAAGGAAAAATATATACCCTAAAAAATTCCAGAAAACAAACTCACAAACAAAAATAACATAGGAAAGGATGGAAATCAGAATAAATCAGATTTCTCCGGAGTCTAGCCACATGAGAGGCTAAATGACAATGGATCAAGGCCTTTAAAATTCTGAAAGAATATGATTCCCAATTTGGAAATCTGTACCCTTCGAAACTGTCAGGTGTGAGAGTAAAATAAAGCCGTCTTTAGACAAGCAAGGTTTCAAAAATTTACCTCCCATGAACACCTTCTTGGGAGGTTAGTGGAGACTGTGCTCTTCTAAAGTGAGAGGATAAATCAGAAATGGGAGACCAGGGGATTTGGCACTGGAGAATAGAGATGGGAATCCCCAGAATGTGGTTAGGGGAAGTCCTAGAACAATAGTTGGACAATGAGGCCAAGATGAAAATTTGGAGAGAGGAGGATGGGCCCAAGGAAGGATGTCTCCAAGAAAGAAAAGAAAAAAAAAAGACCCAGAAAGATCACCAGATTCATGTGACCAGATCAAGAGATGTTTTCTGGTCCAGATGAAGAATTTGAGGTGAAAATCAATAATAGATGCATAATTAAGTTAATTTTTAAAAAGGCAATTTTTGACTCAAGGAGAGAAAGGTTGTTCAATAAAGTGAAAGTAATCTTAGTCCGATATATAGCTCAACTGTAAAAATATTCCATAGTTATATTAATGTAAACTCTGGCTCAGCCAACTAGGGAATTGTGCATACTGGCCAAGTCTGTTGATGGTAGAAAGAAAGAAAGAAAGAAAGAAAGAAAGAAAGAAAGAAAGAAAGAAAGAAAGAAAGAAAGAAAGAAAGAAAGAAAAGAAAGAAAAGAAAAGGAAAGAAAGAAAGAAAAGGAAAGAAAAGAAAAGAAAGAAAAGAAAAGATCATAAACTCATAGAAGAACAAGAAGGATACTTTCCCTCCCTCCAGACTCCAGCCTCATTTTCCTTTTTTTTAAAGATTTTATTTATTTATTCATGATAGACACAGAGAGAGAGAGAGAGGCAGAGACACAGGCAGAGGGAGAAGCAGGCTCCATGCAGGGAGCCTGACATGGGACTCGATCCCGGGTCTTCAGGATCAGGCCCTGGGCAGGAGGCAGTACTAAACCGCTGAGCCACCCAGGCTGCCCCAGCCTCACTTTCCTGATGAAGAATCCCAAACCAGTGTCTCCACGCCTGTACCAGTCTAGAGCTAGACAACTCTTCCTGCCACCTCTAAGTGTAAACTAACTGTCTCTTACATGCACGCATGCACCCACACCCCTCTAACTCCTCCTCAGCCTTTCCCAAGCCAACTCAGCATACCATCACTTTTATCGGTGCGTCCACTGTTTTTCCAGTATTTTGCTTTGGCTTTTCCACTCCTTCATCCCCTATATCCAGTCTGTTTTAGTCGGCTTTCTAAAGCTTTCCAAAGATCTCTGCCCATTTCCAGCTGTAATATAATCCAGTCTAGTCTGGCCACTTTTATTATTAATAATAATCCAATCAACATTTATATAGAATTTTAAAATAACATTTGCTGGACTTTCTTCTGATTAAAAGAGAGTATACCCTTGTACCCTGTTAGTAGGAATGCAAGCTGGTGCGGCCACTCTGGAAAACAGTATGGAGGCTCCTCAAAAAGTTGAAAATAGAGCTACCCTAAGACTCAGCAATTGCACTACTAGGTATTTACCCCTAAACATACAAATGCAGTGATCTGAAGGGGCACCTGCACCCCAATGTTTATGACAGCAATGTCCGCAATAGTCAGACTGTGGAAAAGAGCCCAGATGTCCATTGACAGATGAATGGATTTAGAAGATGTGTGTGTGTGTGTGTGTGTATACACACACGTACAATGGACTACTACTTAGCCATCAAAAAAATGAAATCTTGCCATTTGCAATGAAGTGGATGGAACTACAAAATATTTTGCTAAGCGAAATAAATCAATCAGAGAAAGACAATTATTATATGATCTCACTCATATGTGGAATTTAAGAAACAAAACAGAGGATCATAGGGGAAGAGAGAAAAAAGTAAAACAAGATGAAATCAGAGAGGGAGAAAACCATGAGACCCTTAATCATAGGAAACAAACTGAAGGTCACTGGAGGGAAGGGGGCTAGAGGGATGGGGTGACCGGGTGATGGATATTAAGGAGGGCAGGTGATGGAATGAGCACTGGGTGTTATATAAGACTGATGAATCACTGACCTCTGCCTCTGAAACCAGTAATACATTATATGTCAATTAACTGAATTTAAATAAAGTATAATTCTTGTTTAAGTGTTGATTGTAGAAATTTGCAAAACACAGAAAAGCACAAAGAAGAAAGAAAATCCCCTCTATTCTTGGGACACCTGCATGGCTCAGTCAGTAAGACATCAGACTCTTGAGTTTGGCTCAGGTCATGATCTCAGGGTCGTGAGATCTGAGCCCTGCTTTGGACTCCACCCTGGGTGTGGAGCTGCTTAAGATTCTCTTTCTCCTTTTCCCTCTGTGCCTGCCCCTGCTTGTGTGCGCACTCTCTCTCTCTCTCTTAAAAAAAAAAAAAAACCCTCTATTCTTAAAACAATCTGGATTTACATTTTGGTGTGTTTTCATACATTGTCTTCTCCATATGTATAGAATAATCTTTTTGAAACAATGAAACACATACTGTGATTATGTTGTTGTTCCCCCTTGTAACTTTTTCATTTAATAAAAATGTTTTATTATATCAAAAAATATCATTCTACGTCATTTTAATGGCTGCATAGAATCCCATGCCAGTTATCCTACCGTTTATTTAATCAACCCCGTTACAATGATTTTTATTGTTTGCATTTTGTTGCTTTTAAGAATAGTTCTATCTCCGGCATCCCTGGGTGGCTCAGTGGTTTAGCACCTGCCTTCTGCACAGGGCGTGATCCTGGAATCCCGGGATGGAGTCCCACATCGGGCTCCCTGCATGGAGCCTGCTTCTCCCTCTGCGTCTCTGTCTCTCTCTGTCTCTCATGAATAAATGAATAAAATCTTAAAAAAAAAAGAAGAATAGTGCTATCTCTGATTATTTAGTTAGGATAACTTAGAACTGGAATTGCTGTGTCAAAGGTTGTGGGGTTTTTTTATTATTGTGGTTAAAAAAATCATATAAAATTTCCCACCTTATTTACAGTATAGTAGTATTAAATATACGCATATTCTTATGCAAAAAGACTTTTAGGACTTTTCATCTTACAAAACGGAAACTCTATACCCATTGAACAACTTCCTGCTTAGCATCCATCAATAGTTTCAATTATTGCCTAATTCTAAGAGGGACAGAAGCAGAAGATCTGGGCAGCCTTGGTGGCTCAGCGGTTTAGCGCCGCCTTCAGCCCAGGGCGTGACCCTGGAGACCGGAATCGAGTCCCATGTCAGGCTCCCAGTGCATGGAGCCTGCTTCTCCCTCTGCCTGTGTCTCTGCCTCTTTCTCTCTCTGTCTCTCTCTCTCATGAATAAATAAATAAGAATCTTAAAAAAAAAAAGAATAATGATAAGAAGAAGCAGCAGCAGAAGATCTGGACATGTCTCCCTCTGGATAGGCCCGTGTCCTGTCCTGAATCCTGGCTCAAGTGCTTGCTGGGGTCCCTACTAGGACATGTGACTTAACTTCTCCGTGCCTCTGTTCCCTTACCTGTAAAATGGGGATAGTAATATGTTATTACACGTGTACATTATTGTACATAGTCATCAACAGGAATAAAGGAGTTCATAAATATGAAGCTCTAAGAACTGTGTGTGGAATATCATAAACCCCGATGAGAGGCAGCTGTTATTATTATTATTATTATGACTGAACGAGATTTCTGTTGTCAAACCGTTTACCTACCATTTTCTTCAATCCTAAATTTATTTATTTATTTATTTATTTATTTATTTATGATAGTCACACACACACAGAGAGAGAGGCAGAGACACAGGCAGAGGGAGAAGCAGGCTCCATGCACCAGGAGCCCGACGTGGGATTCGATCCCGGGTCTCCAGGATCGCGCCCTGGGCCAAAGGCAGGCGCCAAACCGCTGCGCCACCCAGGGATCCCCTTTTTTTTAAATTTTTTTTTTATTTATTTATGATAGTCACATAGAATGAGAGAGAGAGAGGCATTGACACAGGCAGAGGGAGACGCGCATTTTCTTCAATCCTAAATCTAACAAATGAAAGACGACCGCCCGCTATTTTAATGCGTAACATTATTTCACGTCACTGTGAAATTGTAATCGTAAAACCACCGCGATTGTAAGACCGCGCCTCAGCGGAGAGCTTGAACGTTTCCCCACTTCGGAGGGTTGTTTCCAACCAGCTCCTGGGTCAAGGAGGCGACGAACACCACCCCCGCTTTTCGGGTTAAGGAACGGAGAGGCCACTGTCTGCGCACGCGCGGCCACGCCCAGGAGGGGCGGGGCCTCACGCGCCGGCCCCGCCCCCGGCGGCCGCCCCAGCCCCGCCCAGTCCGCGGCGCGGCGGGCTCGCGACGCCAGGCCGGGAGGTAGGGGAAGGCCGGGCTGTCCCACGTGGACGCGGCGGAGTCCCGGAGTCCCGGGGCGGGGCGGGCCGGCGCCCCCTCTGGCCGCCGCCCGCCGCCCGCCGCCATCTTGCACCTGGAGGGGGCAGCGGCGGGCGGGGGAGCGTCCCCCGGGGCCGGGCTTGGGCCCGGGGCGGAGGGCGGGCCCGGGCGGGCGCCGTCGGTGAGGAGGCCGGGGTGGGCGCGAGGCCCGGGCCGGGCCTGTCCTCACAGGGCAGCGCGGCGCTGAGGGGACGTGCCGCAGGCCCTCTCGCCCCGGAACGGGCTGCGGTCCCGTGTTGCAGACACGGACCGAAGGCTCAGAGTGGAGACTGGATCGTGGTGGTTGATTGTCTCCGTATTTACCGTCAGGAGAAAGGGACGCCGGGCGGCGGGGGGCTCAGCGGCTGAGGGCCTGCCCTGCGCCCGGGGCGTGACCCCGGGTCCAGGGATCCAGTCCCCTCAGGGAGCCTGCCGCTCCCCTGCCCGCGCCTCTGCCTCTCTCGCTGTGTCCCTCAGGAATAAATAAGTGGAACCTTTAAAAAATAATAATAATATCAGGAGAAAGCTTGCTGCACTGTCTTCCCTGTTTCTGTTGGTTTTATTCATTTCTTGCTCTTTTTTTTTTTTCCTTAGAAATTTAAAAATGCAGAAAAGTAGATACTGTGATATGTATGTTGTTCCCAGGGACACCCAGCAAGGTCATGGCGGTGGGAGTCAGCCCTGTCCGTCCTGTCCACCGAACCCTTTAGCACCGGGTCAGTCTGCCTCAGCTGTCAAAAAAGGGGGCCGGCCTGAGGGGCGTAGTTAAGGAAGTGACTGGAAGTCCTTTTTCTCCCCTTTCTTTCTTTTTGTAAGATTTAAATTTAATTTAATTTATTTATTCATGAGAGACATAGGCAGAGGGAGAAGCAGGCTCCATGCAGGGAGCCAGATGTGGGACTCGATCCCCGGACCCCGGGGTCACGCCCTGGGCAGCAGGCAGACACCCAACCGCAGAGTCACCCAGGCGTCCCTCCTTTCTTTCCTTGGTTAATCAGCCTCTTCTGCGCCATCCAGGTGAGAGCTAAGAAGTATTCGGAGGCCAAGTCATGGATCCACCAGCGCGTAAAGAAAAATCCAAAGTTAAAGAACCTGTCAGCAGAGTTGAGAAGGCCAAGCAGAAATCAGCCCAGCAGGAGCTGAAGCAGAGGCAAAGAGCAGAGGTGAGATTAAGGAGGAGGCAGGTGTACCTGGTGTACCTGTGGTCGGCTGGAGGTGGTGCTGGAGCAGAGACTAGTAGAGAGGAGAGCTGTGAGGGGAGCACGACCTGCCTCCAGGTGAAACAGCTGTTCTAGGAGGTCACTAAGGTCCAGGATGATGCCAGAACCCATCACCACATGACTCCTGTGCAGAGGTTTTTGTTTTTGTTTTTAAAGACTTTATTCATTTATTCATGAGAGAGAGAGAGGCAGAGACACAGGCAGAGGGAGAAGCAGGCTCCATGCAGGGAGCCTGATGTGGGACTGGATCCCAGGTCTCCAGGATCACACCCTGGGCTGAAGGCAGCGCTAACCGCTGAGCCACCCACGCTGCCCCAGTGTGCAGATCTTTTGTGGGAGAAAGAAAGGGAAAAGAGAAGGGACGTGGAAGGGAGGGGTCAGCAGGAGACAAGTGTTGGACACTCCTGAGCACAGATGTTTAGGCTTTGGCCTGGAGAGTAGCTGCTCATAAGTAGAAGTAGAGACCCAAGCTCTACACCCACCAAACGTATTTCTTTGTTCAATCGACACTTAGAATCACCTTGAAAATGAAAAACTAAACTGTTCACACTACCACATCCAGACATGTATTTTCTTTCTTTTTTTTAAAGATTGTATTTATTTATTCATGAGACAGAGGCAGAGACCCAGGCAGGGGGAGAAGCAGGCTCCCCATGGAGAGCCGGATGCGGGACCTGATCCCAGGACCCTGGGATCTGAGCTGAAGGGAGCCGCTCAACCACTGAGCCACCCGGGTGCCCCAGACATGTGTTTTTATTTTAGTTTGTAATATCAGAAGAAAGCTTGCTGCACAATCTTCCCTCTTTCTAGCCGTTTTTTTTTTTTTTTTTGAGAAATTTTAAAATACGGAAAAGCAAAATATTGTAACAAACACCTGGGTACTCAGCCTGCCAGATTGGTAGTGGCTAATATTTTGTCATAATTGCTTGGAGCTTTTTATTTTTATTTTTATTTTTTTTATTTTTAATTTTTATTTATGATAGTCACACACACACAGAGAGAGAGAGGCAGAGACACAGGCAGAGGGAGAAGCAGGCTCCATGCACTGGGAGCCCGACGTGGGATTCGATCCCGGGTCTCCAGGATCGTGCCCTGGGCCAAAGGCAGGCACTAAACCGCTGTGCCACCCAGGGATCCCTGCTTGGAGCTTTTTAGATAAAAAATATGTGTGAATTTAAAGTCCTCTTTGTTCATTTCCTGTCTTATACCCTTTTACCCTCTCTGGGCATCCACTATAATTTTTTTATGCTTTTATGCTCACATATATTAATAGATATCCTTGAGCAATATACAATGTTCTTTTGTGTTTTAAAATTTTACATTAATAAAATCTTGTGTTTTATTTTACATTTTGCTTACATTATGTTTTTTAGAACTATTCATGTTAATATAATTAGTTTATTCCTCATCATTGCTTACAGTAGTCTATTTTATTTTTATTTATTTATTTTTAAAGATTTTGTTTATTTGAGAGAGAAAGCATAAGTGGGAGGAGGGGCAGAGAAAGAGAAGAAGCAGGCTCAAGGCAGGGAGCCTGATGTGGGAATTGATCCCGGGATTCCAGGATCAGGCCCTGGGCCAAAGGCAGGCACTAAACGGCTGAGCCACCCAGGGATCCCTGATTCAGTATTTCCTTATAACACCTAGTGCTCATCACCCATCACACCCCATCCCCCTACCTACCCTCTGGTAACCATCAGTTTTTTCTCTGTAGTTAAGACTCTATTTCTTGGTTTTAGAAACAAAGCAAATGAGCATCGAGGAGAAAGAGCAATACATAGTCTATTTTATGAATACACTTCAGTATATATACCCATTCCTCCAGTGATGAAAATCTAAATTATTTGGGTTTTTTTTGCTGCTGAAAACATTGCTGTAGTGAAAAACTTAGATGTCTCCTTTGGGACCTGTGTTAGAATTTCTGTAGATCATATATAACTAGAAGTAGAATTACCGTGTGTATTTCAATTTTACTAGGCATTGCCAGATTGCTGTCAAAGAGATTGTACACGTGTGCACTCCCATCAGCAGTGTAAGAGAGTTCTCATTTCTCACTTCTTTTCCTACTTGATAGTGGCACACTTTAAATTTGTGTTGATTTGATTCATCTATTAAATACTGAGCTGCTACTATGTGCCCAACATTGTTGCAGGAGCCTGAGGGTCATGACTGGCCGAGGCAGAGAAGAATCCCTGCCTTGGTGAATGCCTTGGTGAACTCAATCCCTGCCTGGGTTCTGTGGGAGAGGCAGTCAATATACTAAGTAAATTGAATAACATGTTTGAAATGAATCTGTAAACTGAAGTCCACCTGTGGATTGAGACAGACCATCTGAGAGCTACGGATGTGCATTCTAACAAATTAGAATGCACGTCCTCCCCTTTCCTTCACCTCCCTGCCCCCACCTGGATGCAGGCCCCCAGATGATTTGACTGTGTTGTACTTTGGGGAACAGTTTGAGGACTGCTGTAAGAAACAGCCTGAGGAAACTGTCCTTTGTGCATGCTGTAGGGATAGATATTGACATTCTTCACATCCTTACTGACACCCTTTGGGTGAGGTTCCACAGGTTAGATTTCTTAGTCCAGCTCCAAATTCCAGCTCCTTAAGAGCTCCAGTTCTCCCCGTAGGGCCTTGGACAAGATGCTTCACCTCTCTGAACCTCAGTTCCTCGGTTCCCCCTTGAAAAATGAGAATGATGAGATCTATCTCACAAGATTGTTACAAGGAACAGAAATGTGTGTAAAGTACTTCACACAGTGCATGGCACAGAGAAAGCCCTCAGTGGACGGCAGCAGTTGTTAGGGACCACGTGCTTCCAAGCAGTTGGCCTGCTTTTACCGTGCAGACCCTGGGTGGAAGGACTGATTGCATTGATGGTGACATGCTGAAATGAAATATCAGAATTCAATAATGGGATATCAGAACATTGAAATGTAATATTGCCAGGCGCAGGGCCAGCCTGTACACGCATGACCATGCGTATGCTCACACCAGGGCTTACTATTGCTACTCCCATTCTGACCTTTGTTAAGTCCTGCCTGGCATAAGGAAGGGAGATGGAAAATATGTGACTTTGTGAAGTAGAAGATACTATTCTCACTTGAAAGTACAGAACCCCTAATTACTGAGGGGCAGGACTGCGAGCTCACCACATCTGACCTTGGCTCCTTTTCGCTTTGCCCTGCAAGGGCCTTGCTGTTTGCTTTATCTGTGCTGCCTGGAATGTAATCTCCTAAGATAGGAATGTGACAAGACCCTTGGGGGCAGGAAGAGACATAGTTTCCGTTCAATTCTACAAAGATGCCTCATTCCAGAAAGTTAGATTGAAGGAGCTATGTGACCAGTAAATGGGAACAGAGGGCACGTGTGGCCTGAAGCTGCATTTGAAACCGTTGGTGACCCTTTCCCTCTTAAAAGTCCTTCATTCCTTGGCTCGGACCTGCTGACCCATTTCAAGTCTCTTCTTTCTCTGCTTATTTTATTTTCCCTTCCACCAGCCTGCCTTTTGGATCTGGAGCTCTCTAAGAAGCTACTTAATATCCCTCTCTGTCCCCAGCTCAGTCATGCAGATTAACATGCTCATTAAAGCACAAATGGGTGAAGCACAGGTTTGAATGAATGTATGTATATTCATATATATATATATTCATATATATAGCATGTACAGCTTAAAGAAGATGAATGAAACAGGCACCCTGTGACTACCACCCAACTAAAGAATTAGAACATGAGCAGTAATTTGAAGCTCCTGGGGCCTCACTCTGGTCCCATCCCCAGCCCTTCCCACTAGCAGTGCCCTCGTTCCCTGATTTTATGCCGATCATGCTGTTGCTGTTCTGCACTATTTTAGTATTTCTCTGTGAACTCCCAAATAATGTTTTGTAGCCTAACAATGTACTGTCTAGTTGGCATGTTGCTGAATTTTATAAATGTTACATTCCGTAACTGACTCTCTTGGCTCAGCTTCTTTTCTTTTTTTAAACTATTTGCATCTATTCATTTCTTTGTTTTCATTGTGGTAAAATATACATAACATAAACGTTAGCCATTTTAGCCATCAATATTATGCTTTTTGAAAATCATTTGTTTGTTGTTTGTACTTGTTTTCATCACTGTGTGGAATTCTCCATTTCCTTAAAGATTATAGGATCTTGGGGCCTCTGGGTGGCTCAGTGGTTGAGCGTCTGCCTTTGGCTCAGGGCATGATCCCGGGGTCCTGGGATTGAGTCCCGCATCAGGCTCCCTACAGTGAGTCTGCATCTCCCTCTGCCTGTGTCTCTGCCTCTCTCTCTCTCTCTCTCTCTCTCAAGAATAAATAAAATATTTTTTAAAAAGTGGAGGGAAAGATCATAGGATCATTCAAAGTTTGTATTTAGTCAGCTTTGATCATGTTATGTTCCTGGGATTTATTTCATTTGGGTTTTCAAACTTACACAAAGTTCATAATATTTTGATTTAATTTCCATTACATCAGTAATTATGTTTTCTTTTTGATTCTAATAATGTTTATGACTGCCTATTTTTATCTTGATAATTCATGTCAGAGATTTACAGGATTTTCTCCAGTACTTTCAAAGAACCATCTTGTGGAGTTGATGATCCTCTCTTGCACATTTGGTTGCCTTTTCTGCTCTTTATTTTGTGTTTTCTATTTGTCTCACTTTCCAGTTTCTTTTTTTCCCCTCGTCTTTTCTTAAACGAATCAAATTATATCACCTGCACATAAACACACTCCTTCATTTTTCTCTTCTACACATTGAAAAGTTTTATGTTTCTGTTCTTTAGTGGACAAATTGATACCACAAGGATAAAGGTGAGGAATGAGGTAGATGCCTCACCTTTCACCTGAGAATGTCTCTTGCTGTTTTTCTGCCATCCCCACTCCCTGCCCTACGTCATATTCTTGCTGCCTCCTCCCTGGACTATTGTAATGATGCCTTATAAGTGGCCTATAATCTCTTCTTCCCCCACTTTCTCCCTCACATGGTCTCCAGTTATCTTTCCCAAAGCAGAGATATAATCAGATTGTTCCCCTGCACGCTAATCTCGCTGGCTCTTCAGAGTCTGGCCAAAGTCCAGAGGCCTTGGCAAGGCATTGAAGGCTCCAACATACTTGTCACTTTCTCAAGCTCCCCAAACTCTACTTTATAATATCCTTCATATTAGCATAGTTGAAGTTTCCAGAACTAATCCTGTACTTTTCCATTCTACCCCCGGCCATCACCTGTCATGTCCTTTCTCCAGTCTCTGCTTGTTCAAATCCTCCTGATCCCGTAAAAGCCAGATCAAGCACCTGCCTCACTGCATCTTCCCTGATTCTCCAAATGGAATTAGTACCTGCCTTTCTGTTCCGTTCTCACTGTGCCTGCATTACCGCTGCAGTCCTGGCATTTTCAAATGCCACAGCCTGTGGCATCTGAAGACAGGTGGAGCAGCTGCCTTCTCTGCTAACATATCTTTTTCTCCCAATCAGATCTATGCCCTCAACAGAGTCATGACAGAGCTGGAGCAACAGCAGTTCGATGAGTTCTGTAAACAGATGCAGCCTCCTGGAGAGTGAGCCACCCTATGCTCAAACTAGGTGGGACCCTGGAGGCTCTGTTTGTCATCTTGGTACCAGTTTTACTGAGATGATCCACTTGGAACCTTACAGATTTAGACAAGAAGACATTTGCATTATTCCTAAAACTGGATAAATCTGAACTTTCTGTATGTACCTTCTGCTTCATTGGTTCCTTCAGTCTGAATTGGCCCAATGCTTGCTGAAGAGACTTGTTTTGTTCTCCTAAGACAATAGATTCTTTTCTTTCCCCTTTTTTCTATTGTTTGAGAAAAATCAGTGTTTCTTGTGAAACTGTAGATCTTCTCCAAAAATGCAAATAAAATACTAATAAAACATTTGTCTGCTCATACTTTAGCTTGGGATGCCTGGCCACAGAAAGTGGAGTCAGAAAGAATGTAAGAGGTAAGACAAGTTGAGGGGAGAAGGAAGGAGTAGAAGGGAGGAGACAAGAAAATGTCTTTCCAGTTCTCGTTCTTCCTAGGGCTAAAGCTCAGCAAACCCAACGACTCCTAAGTGTTCAGCCACTTGGGTATAATAAATATGTGACGCTTTATTCCCAGCTGAGCCACTACTCAGGGCAGAGGCCTGCAGCTAGGATTCCTCTCACCTTGTGATGGACAGCTAGCAGCAGGCTTGGACCAGCAGGGAGACGTGCAGGTGCTTTTCGCTTTTCATTGTAGGAGCTACTTAATCAGGCCTAGAAGTGGGTTTGTGATGGAAATGTCCAGAACTGGTCCCTCAAGAACCATTCACCTATCCATCCATCTACCTGCCATCTTTCTATATCAAAAGTGTAAAGTTTCTACTTCAGACTCTTGTATCAGGAATGGTGGTTCATACTTCAGCTTTTACGATAATAGAGTTATTTTAATGCTGAGCAAAAGGAGAGCTTGTTCTTTCAGGGTATCTCATTTCCAGATATTACTGGGGAATAGGGAGAAGGATGTCCGAAAGCAGAATATGTTTTTTTTTTTTAAATGTTTATTTATTTATGATAGTCACACAGAGAGAGAGGCAGAGACACAGGCAGAGGGAGAAGCAGGCTCCATGCACTGGGAGCCCGACGCGAAAGCAGAATATGTATGGAAATGAGGTGGGCCACTCAGGACAGAGGATCTGGACACCACTACCTCCTTTTGTCTCCACCCTAGAAATGCCTGTATTTTCTCTACTGGTGTTGGGAATCTCAAGCAATCCTCATCTCCTCTTTGTCTCCCTGCTACCTCTGAAGTCACTGAGAATTCCATTCTTGCTGTGGCTGATTTTGGAAGTCTGGGGTTATTAATGGGATGTGAGAAACTTGCTACAACTGTGAAGAATGTGTTCTGGAGAGCCTAAGTTATAACTAAGGATAATCTCTACAAAGATTATCCCCATAAATGGTAATTAGGTTCTATAGTGTCCTACCAAATCTGGATTGAATGAGGATTGTTTGGTTTTGTTTTTTTGAGGAGTTGGGTTTGGGAGTGAACTATTATAAACCTATGAAATGCTGTAGTATACTACAAAGAGCACAGTTTTTGGACTCCAATGGCCTTGGGTCAAGTAGCAATTCTACATTAAGTTATTAGCCTCTGAGCCTCACTTTCCCCATCTATGTAGTGGAATATTTTTTTCCTATCAGGATCATTTGTTGAAGTAATAAATGAGATGATGCACATAATAGGTCTTCAGTAAATGTTCCTCCCCTTCCCAACCACCTTATTTCATGGGAAATGTTTCAAATTTCAAATAACCAAGTCATACATGAGCATCAGTTGGAAAGATTCTGATCCTTAGTTGAGGACTGCCTGTATTAACATGTCTCAGCCCTAAATCTCTTCCATCCTAGAGAAGTCCTCTAGGGTGGCAGTTTTTCAAACTGCTGGTGGTTGTAAAATCAGTTTAATAAATTATGATTGGTTTTTCTTTTTTTTTTAAGATTTTATTTATTTATTCATGAGAGACACACACACAGAGAGAGAGAGAGAGAGAGAGAGAGAGAGAGAGAGAGGCAGGCTCCACGCAGGAAGCCCGATGTGGGACTCGATCCCGGGTCACTAGGATCATGCCCGGGGCTGAAAGGCAGTGCTAACCTGCTGAGCCACTGGGGCTGCCCAGTTTTTCTTTTTAATGAAACAACAAATTAAAAAATATCACATGTGGTAAAAAAAAAAATTATTTCATGAAGCTTTTGTTTATATGTACTTACGAAAGCATGGGTTGTGGGAAAAAAAAAAAGTTCAAAATATGAGGGATGCCTGAACAAGACAGGACTGGGTCATCTTACTCACAGTTTAGGGGGACAGAAGTTTTATCTTCTGCCTCAGGGAAGGGCTCCAGAGGCCTTTATGTCTGTAACTGGAATAGCATTGAATGCTAAGGCTCTTGCAAGCAAAATCAGTGAAAATGAGGAGCACCTGCTTTCTGCTTCCCTACCTGGAACTCCCTACCCCTGATGTGATCTAGTCCCGGTTTCTCAGAGGTAAGAGATGTTTTTGGAGCTCTGCATCAAAAAATTCATGTTGAGAACAATGACATCAGGAAGTCAGGATGCCTGAATTTGACTCTTGGGTCCACCACTTAACTAACTGTATGAACGTTGGGCAACTTTAAATCTCCTTAAGTCACCTCCGGCTCGGGTCATGGTCCGAGGGTCCTGGGATTGAGTCCTGGGTTGGGCTCCCTGCATGGAGCCTGCTTCTCCCTCTGCTTGTGTCTCTGCCTCTCTGTGTCTTTCATGAATAAATAAATAAATAACATCTTAAAAAAAAAATCTCCCTAAGTCAGTGAGTCTCAGACATTTTAGACTTCTTGATACTCTAAAACTGGAGGACCCCAAAGAGCTTTTGTTTTTGTTATTTATGCTAACCTGTAGTAGATTTTTATTATTTTAAATAAATAAATATTTTCAAACATTTTTTGTGAAAAATTAAAAAAATAAATTTAAATTCAATTAGTTAACATATAATCTATTATTGATTTCAGAGGTAGAGGTCAATGATTCATCATACTTACATAACACACGGTGGTTATTACATCACATGCCCTCATTAATGTCTGTCACCCAATTACCCCATCTCCCCACCCCCCTCAGTGACCTTCAGCTTGTTTCCTATGATTAAGAGTCTCTTATGGTTTGTCTCCTTCTCTGATTTTGTCTTGTTTTATTTTTCCCTCCTTTCCTATGGTCCTCTGTTTTGTTTCCTAAATTCCACATGAGTGAGATCATATAATTGTCTTTCTGTGATTGACTTATTTCATTTAGCATAATACCCTCTAGTTCCATCTGTGTCATCGCAAATGGCAAGATTGCATTTTTTTTAAGATTGCATTTTTGATGGCTGAATAGTATTCCATTGTGTATGTATATCACATCTTCTATCCATTCATCTGTCAATGGACATCTGGGATCTTTCCATAGTTTGGTTACTATGGACATTGCTGCTATAAAACATTGGGGTGCAGATGCCCCTTCAGATCACTGCATTTGTATCTCTGGCGTAAATACCCAGTAGTGCAATTGCTGGGTCATAGGGTGGCTCTATTTTCAACTTTTTGAGGAACCTCCATACTGTTTCCCAGAGTGGCTGCATCAACTTGCACTCCCACCAACAATGTAAGAGAGTTCCCCTTTCTCTACATCCTCACCAACATCTGTCATTTCCTGACTTGTTAATTTTAGCCATTCTGACTGGTGTAAGGTGGTATCTCATCATTGTTTTAATTTGTATTTCCCCGATGCCAAGTGATGTTGAACATTTTTTCATGTGTCTGTTGGCCATTTGGATGTTTTCTTTGAAGAAATATCTGTTCATGTCTTCTGCCCATTTCTTGGTTCGGTTATTTATTTTTTTTTTTAGTGTTGAGTTTGATAAGTTCTTTATGGATTTTGGATACTAGCCCTTTATCTGATGTGTCATTTGTAAATATTTTCTCCCATTCTGTCAGGTGTTTTTTGGTTTTGTCAACTATTTCCTTTGCTGTGCAAAACCTTTTTATCTTGTTAAAGTATTTTCTGAATTAATTCAGTTTTGCTTTTGTTTCTTTTGCCTTTGGAGGTGTGTCTAGCAGGAAATTGCTGCTACTGAGATCACAGAGGTTGCTGCCTCTGTCCTCCTCTAGGATTTTGATTGATTCCTGTCTTACATCAGGTCTTTAATCCATTTTGAGTTTACCTTTGTGTATGGTGTAAGAAAATGGTCCAGTTTTATTCTTCTGCATGTGACTGACCAGTTTTCCCAACACCATTTGTTGAAGAGACTTTTTACCATCAGATATTCTTTCCTGCTTTGTCAAAGATGAGTTGACTATAGAGTTGAGGGTCCATTTCTGGGTTCTCTATTCTGTTCCATTGATCTGTGTGTCTGTTTTTGTGCCAGTACCATAATGTCGTGATGATTACAGCTTTGTTTTTTTTTTTAATAATTTTTATTTTATTTAATTTATGATAGTCACACAGAGAGAGAGAGAGAGAGGCAGAGACAGGCAGAGGGAGAAGCAGGCTCCATGCACCGGCAGCCCGACGTGGGATTCGATCCCACGTCTCCAGGATCGCGCCCTGAGCCAAAGGCAGGCGCCAAACCGCTGCGCCACCCAGGGATCCCTGATTACAGTTTTGTAATACAGCTTGAAGTCTGGAATTGTGATGCCTCCAGCTTTTTCTTTTTCAACATTCTGTTGGCTATGTGGGTTCTTCTCTGGTTCCATACAAATTTTGGGATTATTTATTCCAGCTCTGTGAAAAAAGTTGATGGTATTTTGATAGGGATTGCATGGAATGTATAGATTGCTCTAGGTAGCATAGACCTTTTTAACAATATTTGTTCTTCCAATCCATGAGCTGGACAGTTTTTTTTAAATAAATTAATTTTTATTGGTGTTCAATTTACCAACATACAGAATAACACCCAGTGCTCATCCCGTCAAGTGTCCCCCTCAGTGCCCGTCACCCATTCACCCCCACCCCCCGCCCTCCTCCCCCTCCACCACCCCTAGTTTGTTTCCCAGAGTTAGGAGTCTTTATGTTCTGTGTCCCTTTCTGATATTTCCCACACATTTCTTCTCCCTTCCCTTATATTCCCTTTCACTATTATTCATATTCCCCAAATGAATGAGAACATACACTGTTTGTCTTTCTCCGATTGACTTACTTCACTCAGCATAATACCCTCCAGTTCCATCCACGTTGAAGCAAATGGTGGGTATTTGTCATTTCTAATGCTGAGTAATATTCCATTGTATACATAAACCACATCTTCTTTATCCATTCATCTTTCGATGGACACTGAGGCTCCTTCCACAGTTTGGCTATTGTGGACATGGCTGCTAGAAACATCGGGGTGCAGGTGTCCCG